GGGGACAGGAGGTGGCAGAGGGACCTGTGACAGGCAGGGTGACACGGGGATGGAGCAGCGTGGGGCATGCAGGGTGTCACAGGGGACTCGGACACGCAGGAAGGCAGGGCAGTGTGGGCATGGGGACATGTAGGGTGGCACAGGGGCTTGCGAGGGGACATGGGGACCTGGGGCACACATGGTGGCATGGGGACCTGGTCCATGTGCGGTAGCACAAGGATTTGGGGCACATGGCGTGGCACGGGGACCTGGGGCACATGGGGTGGCACACGGGGTGGCTGCGGGGGTACAGGAGGTGGCAGAGGGACCCAGGGTGCACAGGGTGACACGGGGACAGAGCAGAGAGAGCAGTGTGGGGCATGAGGGGTGGCACAGGGGACTTGGAGACGCAGGACAGCAGCGTGGCATGGTCACAGGTACATGTGGGGTGGCATGGGGGCTTGGCATGGGGACACAGGGACCTGGGGCACACATGGTGGCACTGGGACGTGGCGCACATGGGGTAGCAGAGGGATTTGGGGCACGTGGGGTGGCTGTGGGGGTTCGGGAGGTGGCAGAGGGACGTGGGATGCACAGAGTGACACAGGGACAGAGCGGCGTGGGGCGTGTGGGGTGGCACGGGGGACTCAGACACGCAGGGTGGCAGGGTGGCATGGGTATGGGGACATGTGGGGTGGCACGGGGGGCTTGCGAGGGTGCACGGGGACCTGGAACACATGGGATGGCACTGGGTTTTGGGGCACACCGGGTGACACGGGGACCTGGGGCACGTGGGGTGGCTGTGGGGGTCCAGGAGATGGCAGAGGGACCCAGGGTGCACAGGGCGACACGGGGACAGAGCAGCGTGAGGCCCGTGGGGTGGCACAGGGGACTTGGACACACAGCCCGGCAGGGTGGTGTGGGTATGGGGACATGTGGGGTGGCTCGGGGGCTTGCGAGGGGACACAGGGACCTGGGACACACAGGATGGCACTGGGTTTTGGGGCATGCATGGTGGCACGGGGATTTGGGGCAGATGGGGTGGCACTGGGACGTGGCGCACATGGGGTAGCAGAGGGATTTGGGGCACGTGGGGTGGCTGTGGGGGTTCGGGAGGTGGCAGAGGGACGTGGGATGCACAGAGTGACACAGGGACAGAGCGGCGTGGGGCGTGTGGGGTGGCACGGGGGACTCAGACACGCAGGGTGGCAGGGTGGCATGGGTATGGGGACATGTGGGGTGGCACGGGGGGCTTGCGAGGGTGCACGGGGACCTGGAACACATGGGATGGCACTGGGTTTTGGGGCACACCGGGTGACACGGGGACCTGGGGCACGTGGGGTGGCTGTGGGGGTCCAGGAGATGGCAGAGGGACCCAGGGTGCACAGGGCGACACGGGGACAGAGCAGCGTGAGGCCCGTGGGGTGGCACAGGGGACTTGGACACACAGCCCGGCAGGGTGGTGTGGGTATGGGGACATGTGGGGTGGCTCGGGGGCTTGCGAGGGGACACAGGGACCTGGGACACACAGGATGGCACTGGGTTTTGGGGCATGCATGGTGGCACGGGGATTTGGGGCAGATGGGGTGGCACTGGGACGTGGCGCACATGGGGTAGCAGAGGGATTTGGGGCACGTGGGGTGGCTGTGGGGGTTCGGGAGGTGGCAGAGGGACGTGGGATGCACAGAGTGACACAGGGACAGAGCGGCGTGGGGCGTGTGGGGTGGCACGGGGGACTCAGACACGCAGGGTGGCAGGGTGGCATGGGTATGGGGACATGTGGGGTGGCACGGGGGGCTTGCGAGGGTGCACGGGGACCTGGAACACATGGGATGGCACTGGGTTTTGGGGCACACCGGGTGACACGGGGACCTGGGGCACGTGGGGTGGCTGTGGGGGTCCAGGAGATGGCAGAGGGACCCAGGGTGCACAGGGCGACACGGGGACAGAGCAGCGTGAGGCCCGTGGGGTGGCACAGGGGACTTGGACACACAGCCCGGCAGGGTGGTGTGGGTATGGGGACATGTGGGGTGGCTCGGGGGCTTGCGAGGGGACACAGGGACCTGGGACACACAGGATGGCACTGGGTTTTGGGGCATGCATGGTGGCACGGGGATTTGGGGCAGATGGGGTGGCACTGGGACGTGGCGCACATGGGGTAGCAGAGGGATTTGGGGCACGTGGGGTGGCTGTGGGGGTTCGGGAGGTGGCAGAGGGACGTGGGATGCACAGAGTGACACAGGGACAGAGCGGCGTGGGGCGTGTGGGGTGGCACGGGGGACTCAGACACGCAGGGTGGCAGGGTGGCATGGGTATGGGGACATGTGGGGTGGCACGGGGGGCTTGCGAGGGTGCACGGGGACCTGGAACACATGGGATGGCACTGGGTTTTGGGGCACACCGGGTGACACGGGGACCTGGGGCACGTGGGGTGGCTGTGGGGGTCCAGGAGATGGCAGAGGGACCCAGGGTGCACAGGGTGACACGGGGACAGAGCAGCGTGAGGCCCGTGGGGTGGCACAGGGGACTTGGACACACAGCCCGGCAGGGTGGTGTGGGTATGGGGACATGCGGGGTGGCTCGGGGGCTTGCGAGGGGACGCAGGGACCTGGGACACACAGGATGGCACTGGGTTTTGGGGCATGCATGGTGGCACGGGGATTTGGGGCAGATGGGGTGGCACTGGGACGTGGCGCACATGGGGCAGCAGACGGATTTGGGGCAGG